TTTTAACTCCTGTTAATTTGAGATGCAGAGCTACTATAACTCAATGTCTACAGAAGGCATCCGCTTCCCTTCTAACTGGACGACCTTACAGGTCACGGCTTCTAATTAGAACTTCATGATATCCATCTAGAAGCATGTCAGTAATGGGCACTATCCAGTAATGTATTTTTGAGGTGAGTCGGAATTTTAATTTTGAGGTAGTATTCATCACGGTCTGTTCAGCGCGCCTATATTTTCAATGGTTCCCCAACTGATGTCAATACGTGATGAATACTACCACAAAATTAAAATCCCCATTCATCTCAAAAAAAATATTTTTCAGTTAATTATTATTGATCAAAGTCAAAAATTTTTATACCTTTCTTTTCTGACTTAAAAGGGACCCGGGAGTTACTGTAACACCACTCTATATTCTGTGAGAAAAATTCAGCAAAAAAGGAATATTTTTACTGAAAAGAACGATAGAAGTCATTCGAATCACATTTGCGATGTCCATGAGAAGGGCCTATTTTCGTTCTCAGGCACAGATGTGGGGGATAAAGATGCAAATTACCTGTTTTAGCGAGTTCCTCTAATTCTCTGTTACATTACCTTTTGGTTATTTTTGGTCATATGAAAGTTTGACGTAAAATAGGAACATCAGCCTAAAATGCAGACATAAATGACTTTTTTTTAGAAAAACATTTTCCAGTCCTCGATGCACCATATTATTCTATATTCAGGTGAAGATGTTATATTCGTTGAGTGTAGGCTTATTACCGAAACCAAGAAGAAGTTTTGGAATGCAACAATGAATCCATTATGGAGTATGTTTGTGATGAGATTGTTCCATAAGCTTGTATGTATGACTATGACTGAGTAACTGAAAAAACTATCCAAAAATCATCTATTAACTTTAAAAACAAATACTGTGGATAGGAGTATTTCAACGACGGTTTATAAAATTTAAAAAAATTGAGTTCTAACCTTCTTAAGTGTACAACATCCATAGATAAAGGTTTACTTACATTCTTACGTACACACTTTAAGTAAGGTCTTTAGTCATCTTGAAAATGTGGATCCTGCAAAACATCGTGCACACACATTTGTTCCTCATATTCCTTCATGGTGTCATTCAAGGATAATAGATAAGAAAATGTTATGTCATTAAAATCCTCCCCAAACTTGGATTCATTTTGAAATAAGACACTTACAATGGTATTACCACTCATGATTACGATTAGGAAACTCGTCATACGTTTCATGCATTTCTATATAACGAACAAATTTTGTGGTACCAGTAAAATGGCTTATCTGCTCATCAATTTTCACTGAAAGATAAGTTAGATAGGCAGAGGCGTGTAAAATTTTACATTAAATGATTTTCCTACATTCATTAAATTCGGCTACCATGCATCGGTATTATCCATAAATGACACAGCAGACTATTTGATGAGCATCATACACCGGAACCAGTTGCAGAAACATTAGAAATCTGAGAGCGCTGGACAGCTGATTCGTCGTAGTATGAGACTTCTCAGCAGTGTGCAACCATGACTCCGTCCTGTGGGGATAGAACTGAGGACCTTCAGGTTCTGTGGTCAACACGTTACCATTCAGCGACTGGGTTGAAATCCAATGGTCCATATTTCTTACTTCAGTTGGTTTACTCTATAGTGCAACCTCTATCCAATGCAAAGAATATTCTTTTGCGACACTTTATTTCTCATATTCAACAATCATATATGTATATTGGTCATCGCCATGTAGTGGCTTACAAACTATATTATTGTTTGCATATTTGTTCTGAACTGAATTTTATAAATATTAGAAGTTGGTAATTATCATCTTTTGCACTTTACCAGAAGAGAATTTATTGATTAGTTGGTTTGAGTTACTTACTATTGTATAGTCTCTCATGTTGTTAACTTACATTTACACTAGCAGATAACTAATATGGATTAATGTAACTGTAGAAAGTAATGAGTGGATTGCCTAGAGGAATATTCTTCATTCAGTTTCCTATGAAAAGACTTCATTTATCATCTGTAACTATCGTTTTATTTTAAGATGTTTTTTCTGAATTAGGCATAATATTTTTTCTTATTTTACCTCCGCTTGGTAGTTCTGCTTCTGCTAATATAGGCTGTAATGCACTACCATAAATACATATGTTCATCAGTACATTAAGAGTGAGCCAATAAACTGTTCAAATCAGTTTACATAAGGTTGAAAACAAGTAAAGTTGTACTGTAGTGGGTGTTAGTGATAAGAATCAATATACGTAATATATGTTGAGAAGTTGGAAGAAGTTATAGGTACATATTTTGCCCAGAGAAACGCATATGAAGAGCGAAACGAGAAAGAAGTGAAACACATTGTGCAAATGAATATTTCAATGGAAAGGTAACAATATTTCTTCAGTAGCTTTCAGAGTGGCATAATAAACGTTCTTCTCCGTTCTATCCTTTGACGTTTTCTCACAGTACTACTTACTTTGGTCCATACATTAATACAAGCCAGTATCCTATCTAGATTTATTCATAACATAAGGGGTTAATACGTAAATCTTCCAGGTTTAGTTCAAAATAAATAAATTTACGATTTTATAGAAGTTTGGGTCAGTGCATACATGTGGGCATCTTGTCTGACAAATTTTTTTGTGTGCTTAACAACAGTCAACTAGAGTTTTACGGCGCTAACGCAAGAAAAATGCTTGATGCATAAAAAAGAGTTACGCAACTGGAAAATATCTTGACATGGATATTACATTGCTTGACGTTCACTTCATTTCTATCCCACACCTTTAGCTAGACCCACATATGATAAATATTGAGATAATCACTCAGTTTACACATTACCTTGAGTGTAATAGCCTTCATGCTATGCTTAATTATCGTATTATGCATTTGACTTCAATCTGAGATAACTTTTATTATGAGTCAAAATAGGACTGTGCATAAACCAGTATGTATATTTTGGTTGTAGTCTTCAATGTTTAATATTGTTATCCCTGACAATGAGGGATTAAATTTAATTCGATTAGAATGATGAATTACCTCAGACCACCTGATTATAATTGTTTTGCCGTCAAAGTGGTTGACCGACCATCAACCTAGAGAAGTTAGAAGAATATGTTGTCACACATAAATTATATGAAATAAAAAAGCTAAGGGAAATCATGTTTTTTAAATTTAATTTTCAATCATGATAAATACTAGTCTATGAAGAGCGTATTTGAAACTATGCGTTACAGTAGATAAAAGTGACCTTAAATATAGTGCGTAGGATTTACTGACTATCTATTAACCTTCATACTGTTCATGATTGAATTAACTGTATGTCACAGTATAACCAGTTTATTTCTATCACATCTCTTTATTTAACTGATTGTTTTATTTCACTAGTTTTATTGAGTTTGAACTACTGTTATTCAATCAAATAAATGTAGTGAGTTGATCATGGTTTTGATTTGTTGACATTTATTCAGTTAGGCAGCAGAAAAACTACCTTTCGATCAAGTTGGAGTTCAACTTGCGAATTATTTGCAAATTACCTAGCTCCTATTAATATTTCTCAAAGCCAAGTAGTTTTTCACCTGCCCAACTATAGTTTCAACAGTATGATTAGTTTGGTAAGTATCCTCGTTTTTAAGTAGTATATGTCTTATCAAGAAGCACTGACTTGACTGGTATTAGTGTTGAAAATCCGGATCTTTTTCAAGCTCTATGCTGAGTGTAGAAGATCCCCACACTGATTTCAGATTAGTGCAGGAAAGCCTGTCTTGCTGTCTTTCCCATCCTGGCTTCTTTGACGTCCTCGTCTGCGCCACCGCCTGTAGTTGAGACAGTGCTGCCTTACCTAGGTAGGTGAAAGAGGCTACTTGCTCTAGATTTCCCCCATTGATGGTGATTGGAGCTTGTTGTTGTTGGTTGGGTATCTTCATCACCACTCCATCTTCTCTACGTTCACCTGAAGTCCCGTCTTCCCTGCCCTGCCTCTTCTGTCAACTTGTTGGTTTTCGCCTGTGGATCTTCGAGTTTGTGTGACAGGACATTGGACATAAGTCATCATCGGTGGTGAAATTCAAATATCCTTGGGTCATTACATCGGTCCAACAGCGTATGACCATCTTCTGACAGCTACTCACGGTTTGCTGCATGATCCAGTCAAACACAATCAAGATGATTATGGGTGATAGTAGGTGGCAGCCTTGTCTTACTCCTGCATGTCTTCACTTCGAAGGCTTTCGATTGTGAATCAATCGGGATGTGGAGTCTTGATATAGTTGTTGAATGAAGTTGACAAAGATTTGTGGTACTCCGTAGTGTTGAAGCAACTGCCAAATTACTTCATCACTTGCATCATGACAGCTTTTGTCAACACTTACTATGAATGTTCGTGTTATTATTATTATTATTATTATTATTATTATTATTATTAGTGTCATCTATACTTTGTAAAGCATCCATCATTGGTTAGAGAATCTCCATAAGCCGTTTAGTTTTTTGATATATTTAGAGCTATATTTATTGGAGTAGAACACGGAAAATCGAAATAAAGATAGTACTGTTTGCTTGGAATTCTTGTTTTTTATTCTGAATGATGAGTATCTTTAACGTTCCTATTGTTCTTAGTCATATCAACATGTCTGTGATGACGAAACGTTACCCACTAAACAATACTGTCTCATTGGGTTAAGTATCTGAGTAACATGATACCATATAAAATATATAGTCCTCATTATTTGCTACATACTCATTGGTTACTTATACGAACTGATCAATTTCTTGCCATGATACTTGTTTGAAGCGTTTGAAGCGATGGGTACTGGGTTCGCGCTCAGGTGGGAATAACATCAATCACTGGAGTGCAGGTATATCCAGCTGACGAGTCCCAAAATGTAAGAGTAGAACATGTTCACTGTCGCAGTGTATGATGAATACCATGGCGATTTGTTTGCTAGATATGTCATGGAGTGAAACAGTATTATTTATTGAGTGACATTTCGAATCGAATTTATTGCTCATATCCACTATGTGAAATATTCAATAAACAAATTAACATGCAGTGATATTTTTATTTACATGTAAAAAGAGGACTTTCATTGTCCTGAGAATCTGTGGTAGCCTGCATATCTTATTTCACAATCAGTTGGTCATGAACCCTTTTTAGAAGTGGTTTCATACTGCAGTTAGAGACTTATTTTTGAAAGGCTGTTTGTCTATCAAATTGTATGTGTCAGTTCATTTCTAAATAATCATACAATACAACCTTGGTAAATTATGGTGATTGGTAGTATATATTGATTACAATGATTCTTGTATTATGATTGGTAGGTCAAATATGTCAGACGAATACATTTTTTAATATAGGACCATTCAATACTTTCTTCATAGGCCTACTGACCAAATATGTTTTAAAATCTAGTGACTGCAAGCTATGCAAATTACCATACTTAGATTCAACTTATTTCTCATCTACATTCTCAAGACTGCGAAGTCGTATAGCCAGTGTTCAAGTGTCAGTAATGTACAACGCTTGGATTGCTATCCAAGTATTGATTCAAATGAGGGTGGGTGCGTTGCACGAGGGTGCTGTTGGATACCAAGAAATGAAAATGATGGATTACCATATTGCTACTTCCCTAAAGACTATCCCACTTACAATGTAGTATCGTCAGAGAAAACTAAGCGTGGCTTCATTGCACAGTTGAACAAACCTAGTTCAATTTATGCTTTGGATGAAATAAAAAACATTGCTGTTGAAATCAGAGAAGAAACGTCAACTCGGCTACGTATAAGGTTTACTGTACCTTCGCAACCCAAAAGATGGGAACCGTATATCCCACTGGGAAGCGCAAATGATATTCCGGTACCAAACGTTCAGTATAAAGTTTCTATGGAGAATTCACCTTTTGGATTAAAAGTAAGATATGAATTCATGTTACAGTGAACCTATAATTTGATAGTTATTATAATTACCTGGCTTTGTGTCATGATAATATTTATCATAGAGGGATTCACACAAAAATACATCACTTCAAATTCAGTGGTTGTGTATTAGTGAAGTAACATCATTAACTGTTATGCTACTCCTGAAAGATATACCAGTTTTGAGAAAGAGTTTTCGACCCTGCATGTACTGAACTGCAATAACAGCAAAATGTACACGATGTAGTCACCAGTGGGTGATCGATGTAGCTGCCTAGTCCGTAGTGCCTAGCATTGATAAAAGGCTATGCATCAGATTTTGCAATATGACCACTAAGTGAAGTCATGTGACACTATAGCGCAGTGTATTCTGATGTTAGATGGTGGATTTTAAACGAAAGCAAGCGTTGGACTTGGGTTTCGAGATTGTTGGCACTCAGCGGTGAGGCGTATTTGAAACCATGAGGAAAATGATGTTCCCTCAGTGATTTGAATTCTGGTCATGAAGGTTTCAGGCTTCCTGCAGATTGGCCTCCACCAACTTACATCATAATACGGCACACTACAGTTTTGCCTACATTTCAAAACTTTAAAGACAGACTTTGATCAATGCTAAGCTCTAGGAACCAGACAGTTACGTTGGTTACCTATTTCACGTACAGAATTCAGTTATACAGTCGTGGCCTAAATAGCGTAGTGGTTAAATCTCTGGCTTCATTATTGAGTAACGTAGGTTCTGTTCACTGAGACTACAGGTATTCCTTGCTAAGGAGTGTCAACATCCTAGGTTCAGGGCCTCTTGCCGTCTGAATCCTAATGTATGACACTAAAGTAATAGAAAATTTCCTACCGGGTAACCAGGATTTCATGTGAGTTCACTTTTCAGCATTATGTGTACTTAGATGTTCTGTCTTACCTGGAGTTTCTTTTTCGGGCATGAACTATTAACCTACGAATTATCAACCATGGTATTCTGAAAGAATCATCTCAGCATGTTTGCATTTTGTGATTAATCGGACAATAAACTTTGCAAGCAAAATTAGTCAGTTCACTCATAATAAGTACATGCCATTAAATTTTGAGGGAGTTGTGGAGATTTGGAATAATTCCAAATCTCCACAACTCCCTCAAAATTTAATTGAACTGGTGCTCATTGGTGACTAGTTTCGAGAAGTATTCCCGAAGTTCCAATGACAAGTCGTGACCGGTGGAGTCAAAGCCTGATGGCCATGAGGACAGATACTCAGCGATGACATTGGGTGGCGGTTGCGCTATATATCGTGAGCTAACAGAAGTTGGAAATATGGAGCATTGGATTCTCACCCAGTGGCTCAATGGTAACGCGCTGGCCGCGGAACCTGGAGGTCACGGGTTCGACCCCTGCTGGTGGGGTCGTGGGTGCGCACTGCTGAGGAGTCCCATACTAGTACGAAACAGCTGTCCAGTGCTCCCATGTTTCCTTTGTTCCTCCAACTGATGTCAGTCTACGATGAATAACAACTTGAAATAAATACATGCCATGTTCGTTAGACACCAAGTATCTTCGAATTTTGAATCATTTCACTCACCCAACCTGGTGACTTCCATCATTACTTTCTGTTACTCCGATTTTTATAACACAAAACTTGGCATAATCGCTTCACAATTCGAACGGTAAAAACAGAATTACTAAGGACATTTCATGGTAAGATTTTGAAATCCCAGAGGAAGGTGAGTTATAGATGCACCTGTGCAATTGTTTACGGTCCTTCTCCGTATCCTTTATATTCTGCAATAATCAGTATAAGTTGTTTTGCAAATTCTAGTGAAAAGGTTTTCATGCCAATTCATAGATTGGTATTATATTTTGGTCTAGACACCTTGGACTTTCATCCTCCTAAGCGTACTGCTAGTGAAATCGCAGGTCGTGGCAAACAGTGAGTGGGGATGTGTAACACATATCCCAGTTACTTCAGCTGAGGAATGTTCTCATCCTCATCACTTGATTTACCTCTCTAACCTTTCACTCTGCATTCCACACTTAGGGATTTTGCCATACACGAAGTCTTTTTAAGTCCGCTATTCTGAAATTCTAACCGATGAGGTCTCATGCAACTCTCAAGGTAAGTGAAGTGTTCACTTTACTCGACGATGTCGTTCTTGATTGTTGAATGAGGTATAGATAATTATTTCTTGCAAAGTTAGATTTTACGTTTGAGAAGTGATAAACTTTCCCAGAACCTCTTTAGATTAACGTTAAGAGTGCCTGGAGCGATGTAACTGAAGACAGCATTGTTCCTTTATGTGTTTTCGCATTCTAACAATGAAAGTTTTCAATATTCCCAACCTCGTCTTAGTACCATTGAATTCATTGTCTACAAGGACTACTCCGTCTTTGGACTCCAGGATGACTATGCAATTTCCCATGAGACTTTCATTTTTTGTGAGGTAGGTAGAAAATATTACCTATGATGAAGTTAAGTGAAAACGAATTCAACTACTCCTAAAGAAACCATTCAATTTAAACGCGCGAAAGATGACATAGGATAAGCAAGCTGTAACGTGACCTAGGGTGTCCAAATAAACAGTCTATTAAGATGTTACACTTGACAGACAGTCTTTTTAGTAAGAAAAAAGTATCAAAACAGTTGTCAATCGACAGACTTAAATGTTATTTCAGAGTCAGAAAGGTAGCTATTGTTTAGAACCGTTTAGCATGCTTGTACTACGAAACCTGATTGTGTATGGTGTTGTTTTCTGCTCAGTCAACTATGGTGCAGACACACAGATACATAAGCTGATAGGTTGTCAGTGTCCAATCATATGCTGCAGAACAGGCAGTAGCCCTCTACCTGATATTCTTTTGAGGTACCTGATATGAATATAGTTTAACCATATCAACTGTTCAGATGCAGCTGGGGGTCGATACATTAAACACTGAATTCTCTTACCTTATGATAACATGATTTCATTGTTTTTATTGACAGTTGAAAAACTCCACATTCATGGGTTTTGCTTAAATGTTTAGCAATAAAGCTTGTTGTTGGTTTCTGAACCGAACTGATCTACCATTATCGGTATATGGAATGTTTACATGGATGCCTCTATATCTCTCAATTCGACTGCATTTAATAATGACTGGCAATGAAGTAAATGACTTCATTTTGTTTCTCTTTGGGATTTGTCAGATTGATGTAGCTGAGAAGTATGAACATTCAGTTGATAAGTTCCGAAAGGATTAGAAAACATATCATGGATTCTAATGGTAGTTACTATTTGGCACCACTAATTAGCTACTGTTACTTGTACTATTGATATTGCTATTTCGGCTTTATGTCTCTCATATTCAGTTCAAATCTTTTACCCTTTTTTAAATTAGAGAGGAAATAAGGAATATTTCTTATATGAACACTTCTATTTAAGCTCATAATATTCTTACTTAAACCATGTGAATGTTTCTGTAAGATTATTTCATACGACTGTAGTTCAATATCTTTCCAAATCGCTCTTAATTTCCTTCTTGCTCCAGCAAAACGTACAAGCTGTAACACAGTATTTTATGCTGGGAAATGAACTAAGATGCAATTTTACTCTACTAACATATCAACTACACATAGATACTCTGATATTGTTGACTGGACTAAATACTTATGTTACGTAATCATTCACCGAAAATAAACAGTGCCTCCAATCATCAAATCGTTGAGTGCACAGAATTCTGCAAACAGTTCTCTATTCTTGTTCATTTCACCGAGCGCTTCTCGACCCATGGTTAGTTCTTTTCTTGTGTTGTCCGCTCCACGCAGTTTGGCATTCATCTCACCCACTAGAGTTTCGATGTCACCAACTGAAGTGGGATCTTGTCCAGTGCTGATTGCAGTTGTCTGTAGGATTCCTGCTTTTCTTCATCTGCATTATTTGTAGGTGCATAAGGTAGCATTGAATGATTGTGGCTTTCCTTTCTTTTGAGTCGAAACTACGTGTCATGATGCTGGAGGAGATTGGTTCTCACTGTATGAGAACCTTCAATACTCTTAAGAGGGGGACATCATGATAGCCACTCCAAAACTCAGTGTGCTCGTGGTTGTTGTCCGGGTTACAATATCCGAGTAGATTATTGACTTCCCTCCAGTTGACAGTTTGGAGAGTCCACTTCTATTTCACCTGCTTTCGCACATTCCCAACCTAGCCTTTCCCTGCTATGCCTTCTCATCTCCTTCGCAATCTGGGCGGTCTTGCCAGCTAGGTTCAAACATCGTGCGGACATTCCATGTCGCCATCCTTACTTTCGCTTTCATCTAGAGTGGGAACACACATCGGCCAATCGGCTTCCTGAAGGCTTTCACCAACTGGCGTCATTTCGTCTCCCCAATTCCACTGAGGAATAAGTTTTTTTTATATATTTTGTCTGTGCTTTGAAGTTTCTGTAACTGTTGGACTGGTTTTACGGGGTGGGGTTGCTAGCCCTGTGCCCAACTTTCCCTCTTTACCCGGGCTTAGGATCGGCTAGTAACTAGTGAACTAGTTAACCAGGTGAGGTTACATGAAGTCCAATGCTGGTTTAAAATTAGTGTTTACCATGTACATATCAAGACTTTTAAAATGGACATAAATGGTAAATAGACTTTTGTTTATTGCTGGTTGCTGTATTTCCAGTTATTATTTACCAATTAGATGTTAATTCATACTAGTTCGCAGTTCCAATGTTCAGACGTCATATGCTAACTGAATAACTAATTTCTTTACATACATGTCTACTTAATGTGGTTCCAGTCAGGAAGACTTGGTGAAATCATTCGCTTTTACAGCTGTTTGATTTTACTTTGTAAATAGTCTAAAAAAACGACCTTGATGTAGCTCTACGATCGCAACTAACCAAATATTTGAGTATCAATTTGTGTATTGACTGTCACTCTGTAGACAAAGAAACAGGATAATCATCATGGACCGACATCAGTTGCAGACACATACGGGAGCAGTGGACAACTGTCTCTTCCTAGAATGGGACTCCTCAGT